TTTCTAAATTAGGATTTCTCTTGTGACAGATCAGGAGACAGGTAGGGCCCCCTACAGAGGGAGTGTTACTTCCTGAGCTAGAGTTCACCCTGAGGCATCAAGGCAGTCCTTAAGGGTTTACCAGATTCTTGCATTTGCTGACCCCTCCCTCCTGAGTCAGGCAGAAGGTTTTCAATAGAAAGAGCTTGGCTTCATTTGCATTGAATTCTCTTTGTGATTTACTTCCTGATAATTTTCAATAAAGATACAGAGAAGCTTGGCTTGGGTTTTCAGTGAACTGTTGGCCCCCTATTTTATGCTCTCTGCTCTATCTCATCCCAGGCTGTGTGTCTCATTATTAATAATTATAAAAATACTTTACCCTCTGTCTGCAACAAGAAATGATAGACAATAGCAAATACTGTTAAGGATGTGGAGAACTAACCCTCACTCACTGCTTGTAAGAATGTAAAATGGTACAACCACTTTAAAAAACAGCCAAATTTAGAATAAGCCATATGACCCACTGTTACTATTTCTAGGTGGGAATAAAAAAATCCAAATATCCACAATGAACAAAATTAAAAACAGATATTAAATTAAGTGTGCAATGGATATTAAATTCACCCTGGACAAAATGAAAAAACAGATATTCACACTGAACAGAGAAATTAGTCACAATGGTTAACATGTAAAGCAGCCAGATGGCCATCGGTTAATGATGCAAAATCTAGAGTGTTAGTCAGCCCTAAAGAAGAATGGAGTCCTGACACAGTGGAACGTGGCTGCACCTTGAAAACGTTCCAGTAAATGAAAGAAACCAGACACAAAGGGTCGTTTCCTGTTTGGTTTTGTTTCTAGAAGGTGACTAGGGGAGGCAGATCCACAGAGACAGAAGCTGGGTGTTGGTGTCAGGGAAGAAAGGACCTCCCCTGATGGAGCGTCCACAGCAGGTTGCCCTGCTAAAAAGACCACTCAAAGATGGGCGGTCTTCTCACCTTCACATCTAAAGCCGTGGAGCACTGTGGTGGGCTGCTGAGTTGTAATGGAATATGTGGCAGTGAATACTTTTGAAAGTGGGAGAAGAGAGGGCTGGTGACTGACTACTGACAAGGATATTGATGTGGAGTGTCTTCTAAGAAGATAAAAGTGTTCTGGGTCTAAGCAGTGGTGATGGATGCACCACTGTGGATGTCTTAAAATGAAACAAAATAACATGGAATTGTACCTTTTGAAAGAGCTTAGGGTATGAAAAGTAGAATTGGCTATGTTGTGTTATAGATTCTTTTACAACAATTTTAGAAAAGGATGATTTTATATAGTGGTAACTAAATAATAAAACAATGTCTCTAATACTTAGAAAAATGTTAGGCAATGCATGCTAATACAGATACCACTTCCTTCGAGTATACCTCGGCACAGTTATTTACATGTCTTCAGCTTTGTTGCCGATCTTCTTTCTGGACCTGTAATTGTACTACACATTTCAGCTTTTCCTTTAATTCCTACACAGATAAATTTGTTCCTGAGTGCCCGGCGATCCTGGACGCAGAGAGGATAAACTGTGCCCCTGATCAAGTGGTGACACAGGTCAGAGAAGTGGCCTTCTTGCCAGTGGCCTGGAGAGCCTTGTTGAACGTACTTCCTTCTGGCAAATGTGGCGACAATGATGATGGGGATTGCTCCTTTAATGGACCTCTGGCTGATTTGAGGTTACTTTTTTTTCTGGTCCTGGTGAAATAGACAACCGCAGGAAGGAAAGGAGGAAGAGTTAGGAAAGAGGAGATAGAGGAGCTGGAGCTAGGGATGTCTGGAGAGAGAGAGAGAACTCCAAGTGTCACTAGATGTGTCATAGATAGGATTCCAAGGGAAAGCATGTTGTTGAGACTATCAGGTGGGAACCCACCCACAGCTGACCCTCCAGGGTGGACTTTGTGAAGCAATTAATCGTTAGGGAGGAGATGGCCATCCTTCTCTCACTGAGCAGCAGGTGGACTTGAACCACGTGCCTTTGGGATTACAGCACAGCTTCTTGCCACTAAGCCACCAGAGCTCCCTCAAGGAGAGCCATAGAAAGGCTAAATGTGTGTGAGAGAGACTATGTATATTCCTTGAGTATTGGTCACAGATGGCTGAGTTACAAGCAGAACTCAGGTGATCTGTGTCCTTGTTTGCAACTGTTAGGTTGTTGTGTGTCTTTGAGTGGATTCTAACAGCTGCTCTGTAGGGTTTCCTACTCAGTCATTTTACGGGAACAAACGGTCATGTCTCTTCTTAGGAGTTGTTAGTTTGAACCACTTACCTTCAACGTAGCAACCACGCACTTAACTGTTGTGCCACCAAGATTCCTTATACAGTTGTCGTATAGAATCTTTATATAGTGGTGGTGGTATTTGTTTTTGTCGAGACATTATACAGTCATATGAGCTCAGATACTGAGATGATTTCTTTGAATAAATACTTTTCTACTTTAAAAATGCATATAAGTTCACTGTGTAAGTCAGGGTGTAAAAAAGAATATGTTTAAAGTAAAAATGTTGAGGAAAATACTAAATATTAAATGAACCATTCTGGTAAAAATGTAGGCACCACTGGGAAGGAATCAGAAATTGCAAAAAACACACTAATGTAACTTTAGGAAAGTCGTTCTATGTAACAGAATGCCATGCTTAGCTCGTTGTATCCCCAAAAGATGTAGAAAAGAAAAATAAGAGTAGGAAAAATGAGGGCCCGAGGAGAGAATAGTGGGAGTAGTTTTCCTAAAACTCTAGAATTCAAAACATATTTCATTGGATATAAATTCATAATAGAAGATAAGCAAAAAAGTATGATAACTTCTAAAAATTCAGAATTTCAAGAATTGCTGCATGATTGAGGGTTTCTTTTTGAGCAGTAAATTTTACAGGACCAACCAAGAAATTTTATGGTATAAGACAAAATGCTCCAAATCTACTGTTCTGAGATTTTGCAGCTAAATTATGTCTCTGATTTACTTGTTAAAATGTATAATGCTAAAATCACTGAGGGTGGGGTGTGTGTGTGTGAGAACTTCAATCCTGATTTCTGTTGTTTGTTTTTTCCTTCTGTGAGTACAGGTGGGACCCTTGCTGTGCTTATGCTGTTGTTGTTATGTGCCATCTAGTCACCTGCAACTCATAGTGGCCCTGTGTACAAAAGCTCTGAACCTTGCTCTATCCTGAGCCAATCACACCATGTCTGACACACCTACCCCCATTACTCCAGTCACTGAGTCAATCCATCTCATCAAGGCTCTTCCCCTCCTAGACAGTTCCTCCACCCTCCCAAGCACAGTGTCCCTCTCTAAGGACTGGTCTCTCCTTGCAACATGTCCAAAGTATTTCAGACGAAGCTTCAGAATCCTTGCCTCCAAGGAGCAGCCTGGTTTCATTCTCTCCAGGATGAAACTTTTTGTTCTTTTAACAATCCACAGTACATTCAATACTCCTCTCCAGCACCACAGCTCAATGGCATCAATTCTCCTTCTATCATCCCTATTAACTGTCCAGCTTTCTGATGCATAGCATGTAATTGCAAAGACCATGGCCTGGATCAAGCACACCTTAGTCTCCAGACTGACATCGTTGCTCCTCAGTACTCTGGAGAGGTCCCTAACAGGAGACTTTTCCGATGTATAGCAAACCCAAAATAGAACCTGTTGTTTTTTTACGGGATCCCTTCTGACCCTTAGTACGGGTAGAAGTCCTGTCATGTGTATCAGCAGGACTGCATTCCAGCGGCTATTCAAAGGCTGTAGACCCCCTTACCTAAGCACCACGAGGCAGATCGGAACCTCCAGTCTTTAGGTGAGCAGCTGACTGGTGGACAGTCATTACCATGAGGAACTCCTTTATGCCCGTAGTAAAGGCTCCCTTAGAGAACCTCTGCATAGGACGGTCTGAAGTGTGTGGCGTAAGCAAAGTCCTCGGTGTTTATGAAGACAGCGGTCATTTCTTCTCTCATTCCCACCTGCCGACCGTTGAACTGATACCATAATCTAACACACACATAAGCCAGCTTCATTCTACGTATTCGTCTGTGTTTGCAGATTCAAGAAGCACCAGTTATCACCACCTCCACTGAAGAAAACGATTCTTAACAAAGATTCACTCAAACCTACCCATTGCATCCACTTCTTAACGTGCCTAAAATGCATTGATTGTGTGATAATCAAAGATAGATAATCAAAGAGCTATATATCTTATAAATACAACTTTTTCCATAAAGGATCTCTTTCACTTAGTTATCAGCCTATGGTAAAAGGGATTTTTTTAAAAAAAATAGGCCTATATAGCTTTTATGTATTATAAGATTAATGTGGAGGTAGCCTAGTGCTTAGGGAGTTGCACTGTTAACCCAAAGACAGGCAGTTCAAATCCACCAGCTACTTTCTCTTCCCATGTGATTTCACACTCCCTCCCTTAAATATTATTATTTGATATGAACTCTTGTGCTCCAAACACACACACAAGCCAGTTTCAGTTCTTTTCCCTCCTTTTAATGACCATCTAGACCAGTGTTTTGATTCACGGGGAAGGGCCCTAGAGGCTTCTTCCCATGTGATTTGTAGGCTCTGGAAACCAGTTGGAGGGTCAGCTGAATCCATTCTGACCCAACAACAATGAGGGGGGTCTTTTATTTTTTTTTCTCTCTTATTCTTTGATCTTTACTCATGCTTGAATCAGGTGGACCTTAGTCTTTAAATTAACATCATTACTCCTTAGAATTTTAGAGGGGACCTTTTTAAAGTGAATGTGAGTCCAGAAAGATCTTCTTCCCATGAATTTCCTGTAGACTCATCTCCGTTTATTAAAGTCTGCATCTTTCTCCCTCTGTATCGTTGGTGTAAATCAGATGTCTGTTTAAGCATGGATATGATTCTGGGATCTCTATCTTATGCTTTTATCTATGGTCTCTTCCTTTTAAACATACACTCCTTGTTACAAGTTTTACAACTGAACTTGACACACGACTGTGTTAGTCTTTTCAATTATTCCTACACCTTTCAAGATTGTCTGGCCTACTCTTGGTCAAGTATATTTCTGAATATATTTTGGAATCAACTTGTCAGCTTCTTCATAAAACCTACTAGAAATTTATAGATTCATTTTGGGAGAATTGACATCTTTAAAAGATTGAATCTTCCAACACATAAACAGACTATGTTTCTGCATTTATTATTTGATATGGTAGTGTTGAATACCCTTTTTTAGCCACATATATCCCTGTTCATGTTCCATTTATGTTGGTCCATTTAGATGGTATTATTAAATTTTAAATCTATTTTTGCTAGTATATATATTTAACATTTATTTTATAAACTTAGCCCTTTCTAGCAACATGCCCAAAATATGTGAGACAAAGCCTCATTATTCTTGCCTCCAAATAACACTCCAGCTACACCTTCTCCAGGACATATCTGTTTATTCTCTTCGCCGTCCATGGGATGTTCAGTACTCTTCAACACCACAGCATGATTCTGGGAAGGGTGACGGGTGGGTGAAGGGAGGAAGACCTTCAGCCAGGTGGATTGACAATGTAACTACTGCAATGGGCTCTTACGTGTCACGAAGTGTGAGGATGGCACAGGATAGAGCAGGGTTCATTTCTTTCATTCGTGGGGTTGCTATGAGTCATACTGGACCTGGTGGCACCTAAGAACTACAACAACAACAATAATAGCAACTCTCATGGCCAGTGAGCTTCTTGAACTTGTTCATTGTTTTTCCTCCACTGAAATTCTGTGAATTTCTCCACCACAGCAGTGCCTGAAAATGGTAACAATTAAATGATGATGTCTTCCCAGTATGCATTTATTTTTCACCTGTGCTTTGTAACATTGAGTTAGGAGCTCCTTTTCTTTCTATTTTTTCCCAATATCAGCTTGAGCTATTTGATCCAAAAAGCAATATGTAACTGTAATGCAGGGGTCTGCTATCACAGTGGACTAAATGTTGGATTGCTAACATTCAATAGTTCGAACCCACCCACTGGAAGATGAGGTAATCCTCCTTCCTCAAGATGTAGAGCCTTGGAAACTCCGTAGGTGAATATACCGCCAGGCCGACTCTCACTCCATAGAACAATTTACCACCCAATATCGAAAGGCAGCATTTGCCCAGGAATAAGGTCCAGGAGGCCGGCAGGTGTAGGAAGAAGGATTAAAGGAAACAAGAATTCCAGGGAGAAAACAGGAAGAATGTTGTCACAACACGATGATTGTAATTAACATTATAAATTAAACGTGCATGAGCAGTTGAATGAAAAGTCAACTTGCTCTGCAAACGTTTGTTCAAATCACAGTGAATCAGTGGATGAAATGAAAGCCTATGAAGCAGTTCTCCTTTGTCCTACAGGGTCTGAACTAGACCATGGCAATGGCAATGGCCAGTGATAGGGTAGCTGTGACAGGTTTAAGGAGATGGAACTTTCTGAAAATTAATGAAACCCAATATATTTGTTGTGCCATGCTGACTCTAGCAGTGGTATCTTCCGGCTTTGGAGGAAGTTGGCCACTCACTTACAGAATTTAAGCATTTGAGAAGGATTCTGTTGGCCAAATCTTGTGTACA